TTGAGTCGATACATACATGTTAATGTGTCAGCCATATTGGAATGAAATATGGCTACCATGACAGAAATGTTATGATTGATCTCCTTGGTTCATAGAACGTTGGTTTCATCATTGGAATTAATTTTCTAACCCTGGTGGGGGTTGAAATATTGACCAAAATGTGAATTCATGACAGCCATCTTGGATTCCTGTATGGCAGCTTGTAGTGGGATCACGGCAAAAGGGTGCAACCCACAATGTCCTGATGACATTCACCTGCCCGTGATTGTCGGGAATACCTTGATCAGCTAGGCAGACTTTAGTCCCCACCTAATTCTCTCCTGCCACGACTTGATGGATTGTTCTTTTGGGAGGTGATATTGTTTTCGAGTTGGGTTATGGCGCAAGGTGCCCTCCAAGTGGGGCTCGAACCTCCCTTTTCACCACAGCCACACACCTCCCATTTGTTATCACGGTATCAGGTATAATCCAGAATATATGCATGTGGTTGGCCTGGCCATTTTCTCTAACTCAAGGCCAGCTGTCATTCTTCTTCTGGATAGTTACCTCTAGCAGAAAGAAAGTGTCTTTAAACTGTCCAGAACTCAGACCCAGACTTGTTTACCTAGTCTGATAAATCAAATCAATCCTATCCCTCTTCTTGTCTTTTCTTTTTCTCTTTTCTAAGGCTGGATACCCGGAGTCCAGTCGCCCTGTAGGGCTTCCTTCCCTTGGTGGAATAAAGGAAAAAAATGCTGTGGGGAAATCCGTCCCTTTTTTTAGTAAGCAGAGAATGAAACACAAAAAACCCTGAACTCAATGCTTCTGCTGCTGAGCCCCACAGGTGTGGGTCCTTTAAACCACAATCCCTCTTCTGCTGGCTAGGCTTCACTCCCAGACACCATTAATTGCCCTCATTAATGCGAGACAATGTCCCCCTGGGGCCACACCTTCTCCTGATCCACACTGCCAGTGAAACTCAAAAAGAAGAAAGAAACTCCTGTATTTTCAGGTTTCCCTCAGTTCACAAGCTTCAGGCTTTTAACCCTCGCCGCTGCTGTGATTGACAGAAAACAGCACTCACAGAGCTCCTCCGAGCTCACAGGCCATCTTGGTCTCAAGCTCCATTCCCAGGGATTATCCTCTTGACTCTCAACCAGAGCTTCCATCCTGTAGGTATTCTCTCTCCTCCCCGTTCTCCTGCCCCAGGGAGAACTGTGCCGGAAGTGGTCCCGGAGCACCAGGAGGAGCCAGTGCGACGCACCTGATGTTCTGGTGAATTCAGTCCTGGGCACGTTGGGAGTTCCCTCCTCAGCGTAGTCACTGCCCTCTCGGGTAAACCCCAGCCAGGATCATCTTTCTCCTCTGAAGAGGCCTCTTCACATAGCTAAATACACTACTTGTCAGACTGGCAACACAGCTTTTATGACATGAGTAGACTACCTCTACCTGAAACATACTGCTGCTGCTTGTGGCAATGAGTTACCTGTGACAACACCTAGAGAACTTATTGTTCAATTTATACCCTACTAAAATATATTGTGATTGTATTTATTTATTTATTTATTTGTATTTATTTTGTGCTGAAGGCCTCGAAAACATTCCTTGTTTTTCTCTCGTTTAGTCTTTCTATCTTGCTCCATTCCTACATTGAGCTCCATGAAGGTCAATGATCTGGAGGCACTGGAGTCACAAAGGCACTAAAGCCTGCCCGCATGAAGCTTTTTGCATAAGGTTAAGGCTTTTCCTTCCTGGTTATTTTTTTATGTTAGGGACACCAATACTATAAAGCCTCATTGATCCCATTTTTACTGGAGAAACAAGTGGAATAGGAGCCCCTTTAGCTGTCAGTTGAACAAGTAAGGCTGTTGACTTTTTCACAGTTTTTCTACCAAACTTTTCTTAGGAATTTGAGTTAAACTTATTACGGATTTTTGATCAGACTGTTTCTTCTCCCTCCAGATTTTTTAGCTTTAAGATTTCAGCCTTTGGTAACATATCTGCTAGTTTTCCTGTTTCCATGTGTTGATGAGTAAGATTACGAAGAGTAAAATGGCCCTTTTATAAGTGGAAAAATTCTAAACAAATATTAGAACATTTTTCATCCCTTCTTCATAAATCACAAAGAAATATGTATAAGGGAGGAATGATATCTACAGAGATCTAAAAACAGAGGAAGAATAAATGAAAAAGACATTTATGCAACTCTTGTATGCAAGTCTTGTAGAAGAGACCTTCTAAAGCCAGTAATGCTAAGGTTGGGCTGAAGGAAGAAAGGAGGCACATACTGGGTAAAAAGACATAGCTGGGAAGAGAATACGGAGATAAATATGTAGGTAGCAGCCTGGAGCAAGTCCACTGGGAGATGTAAGGATACGGAAAATGATTTAACTGGGATCCTGAATTGAAATCAGAACCTGATGAGGAGTGTGGGGATGATAGTAGCATGGTCATGCTCTTTGGTATGTATGAAAAGCATTCTGTTCAGGGGGAGTCTATAAAGCTGGGACTTGGGAGGTTATAAAAGAAAGTTATAACAGAGAGCATGAGATGAGATGAAAGCCTCAATGTGTATTTCACCAAAAGTAGACTCTAAACTCAATACAGCAGTATTCAGCATTATTGGTACTGCATACAATTTAGTGAGTGCGTATTTTATTTCATTATTTGAATAATCATGTTTAAAAAGCAGTCATTGCAGTGGCACAGTTTACAGCAAACTGCCTAAGCCTTTATTTCAGAAAGCCTTGTCTTATTAGGATTTAATCCTGCTTCTACTGAAGTCAGTGTCAAAGCTGTCATTGCCTTTCGTGTCCCTTTAACCTTGAGGTATTAGGTTTTGTGCTGAACTCATTTATTTTTGTGCAAAGACTGGACCACTTAATTCTTGTTGAAAATTTGGGCTCCTGTACATGTGCAGGGAGCATGTTCTGACGCACTATAATTCTAGTGCATCAGAGTGGACTTGATTAATCAAGTCTGCTGGAGTGTGGAAGTTGCTGCACTCCAGCAGCCTCCAGTGTCACGTGTATCAGCATCCCTGTGCTGAAAATGGTTCATTGAAAAGTTGTGCAATAAGCGTTAGTTCAAAGCAGCCCACCGCCATTTTCAGGGGGTGCCGATTCACATGATGCTTCATTTGCTAATTAAAGTGCCCCCCATGCCTGGGACAATAGCAGAGTCATAACGTTTGATCAGGCATTGTACTGCAAAGTGAATGAACTTGGGGGGCTCGAAGCACGTGTATAAATGCCTTTTGATTTCATATCTAAGACTAAAAAAGTTTTGCAGGGTAGGATCATGGACGTGGGAAGGGGGCAGGAGTGGGTATTACCTGCTGAATTTTTCAGAAGCTCCCTACCTATAAACCTCAAAAATTGCTTACTCTTTTAAGACACCATCTCTTCAGAATTGTAATTTCTGGATTTTAGATCTTTCTGGTAAAATGGTTAAGCTATAAGAACATTTGACCTTTGAGGACAGCAGTAGTCAGTGTGAACGGGGTCAGAATTTCTGATGGTCACCACTTGCAACCCCCCTGTGAAACATATACTTGGTCTTGCTAATATTCCAGTCAGTTCCCTCTGCAGTTGGTAGAGGATTCCTCTCAACTTTCAGTACAGCTGTGCTATTATTGGAGGCTGTTGCCTTGAGTGATTCGATGCATGTAGGAACCTGCTTTGACACATGATTTTCCTCGTCTCTCTTGGAGACTGCAGCAAGTGCTTTGGCACAGATAAACTTCTAGTGCTTGCCATATGTCCTTGCCTCAGTGTTCTCAGCACCTTGATATGTCCAAGGTATTTTTCTTTGGTAGTGTAGTGCTCCAGCACCAGCACTAGAAGCCCAGCAGGATGGCTTTCCTACCCAGACCTTCATCAGAGTGCTTTACAAACATTGCTTGCTGACTCAATTGAATATTCTTTTCAAGGATGGAAAGAAAGCTTCTGCTTCATGATCAGGTTCTTATGCTGATGAGTGGCTTTGAAAATGCTCAAATGCCCTCTGCAGAGGGCCTCAACACCAGAAGCAGAAGGGGCACATGCTATCTTTCAACAAGAACCAAAAAAATCAAGAACCAATTTAAAGGGTCTGGAGCACTGAGCCAGCCTGCCATGACAGGACCTCCCTGTCAGAAATGTGTCTTTTATGCCTACTGACTCCTGGTCACCTGGCTCTAAAACCATGTCATTAGTCCTCAAATTTGGAAAGATCTACAACTCCATGGGGAAAAGGACCTCATCATTACTGCAGCTAGCTCTGAGCAGGCACTTTGATTTAATGCACACAAAACCTGCTTGACTTTTTCATGTCTGAATACTGAAATGCAGACACAACCTGTTCACTACGAAGAAACTGATATTTATCCAAGGAAAAAGTGAAACAGCCTTACACTGAAGTAAGTCACTCCGTACTGTGCAAAGTTACCCTCCAGAAAGTAAGGAGTAGCTATACATGGGTGTAAACTACACAGGCATACCTACTGTTTACATCCTGCTAAACAGCATCCCACAGCAGCCTTTTACTCAGTGCAAACTGGATCCACTCTGGCTAGTGCAGGTGCTGTAATAGGGCCTACTGAAGGCAGTGAGCTTAGGAGATCTGGTTATGTGTCTGCTCTTGACTATGGAATAAGATTTACTAAGGAATAAACTCTGAGTACTAAGAAGTAACCCCGAGACATTTCTTCCATTGTAATTTTGGTATGTATTAACATCGTAAAACTTAAAGATTAATTCAATTTAAATATATTTGGCAATAATTTAGGGATATCCTGAATTAGTCTAAGGCGGACCAGTGTATCTGTACCCTTTCTTCAGGTTCACATTGGGGCTGGGCACTTGAAATCTGCTAAAAAAAAAAAAAAAAAAAAATTCTGTGTCATATTTCTGTGGCCTGTCAACACCGGTGAACATGTCTTTTGAACCACTCACTTCCTTCAGGTTCCTGGAGCCACACCACATTTAGCCCAGCATAACCATCCTAATGAGGACCATTTTATGCTTGAGGTTAAAAAGTTCTAAAGTTTTACTTGCCACAAATTAAAGCCCTCAGAAAGTCAACTGAATGTTTTTCTCATTTGGTAGCAATTTAGTGGGCAACTTTGTTATTAAATTCCCAAATCTAAACAACCATATTATTGCATTTCACAATCCTAATATATCTGTCCTGAAGTTAGGATGCAGGGTCAAACTGCACTGAGGCAAAACAGCCTTTATTGCTTGCTTCAGAGATGTTTCCATCAAAGACAACTACAAATCAGCCATATGCTCCAAGCATTAATATACAGTAGCATTATACTTTAGAATTGGCCTATTACAGGGAAGCATATTTTGGTCCTCCTTTGCTATTGATTTCATTTCCAAGGCATGCGAAGCCAAACTAACCAACACACTAGAAACTCTGCTTGTTCTGGGATGACTATTAAGTTGACCAAGGTTATCTGAAAGGTGTGGTGGGTTTTTCGTCTTAGCATGTATCCTACAGAGTAACCACAAATTTAGGACCAAGCTTCCTTTATGTTAGTGACTCCACCCCTTCCTATTTCTCCCTTTTTGATGGTTCTTTTGTTACAGCCTTTTTTACATCCCACCCAACAGGTAGGAATCCTCACAGGTCATATCTACAGAGACAGGTATTGACCTATAATTTTGCTCCTCTGAAGAGATCTTTCCAGTAGGATTTTTACTTACTCATCTCTCTTTAAGTTTTCAGGAGTCTTTGATAAAGTGTTTTTATATACATCATTATTCATTTTGAATAAAATATTTTTTCCATTTTTTAAAATTGTTGTTTATTTAAAATCAAAAACATCCACTTCCTTTTCAGTCAGAATAATTTGAAGGCATACAAAGTAGATCTGTACAAAGCAGCAAGTATTCGATTCGCCTTCAGATTCAGCCGATTTGGAGGGACAGTGATTCAAATCGCTGTCCTGATTCAGTTCAGCCAATTTGGATTCAGAGTTTCAGCCGCCAAATCGGGCCAAATTTCCGCTGAATTGAACAGGCAGTAGGGGCATAGTGGCAGCACCCCACCCCCTACCCGTTCCCCCGGCCCTGCCCGGCTGCCCCTCCTGGCCCCAGCATCCTGGCACTTTAAAAAAACCAAACAAACACACAAAACAAACAAGCCCTGCACTCACCAGCTGCAGCAGTGGTGATCAGGGCCTCTGGGAGCTCATGGCAGAGCCCCTCCGTGCAGTACAGGGCAGTGGGGGCAGCAGGGATCGCCCCCCAGCCTGGCACCCGCACAGCAGCTGTTACATCGCACAGGTGCAGCATGGTTCAGCAGGGTGCTACGTGTTGTCCCAGAGCTGGGGTGGCTTCAGCAGTCACCCAGAGCCCAGCAGCACTTGGCCCGAGCAGCCCCAGCTCCTGGACAGCATGCGGAGCCCCACAGCACCCTGCCGAGCCACACTGCATCCATGCGATGTGACAGCTGCCATGCAGGTGCCAGGTGGGGGTATGATCCCTGCTGCCCTGATTGCTGCTGCTGCATCCAGTGAGTGTGGGGCTTGGTGCCCTCCCCACCCCTTCAGCCCTCCTGCCCCATACTTACTGGCACGGAGCCCAGGTCCAGCTCCCTGCTCCAGCAAGCAGGGACCACCCAAGTCTCCAAATCAATTCAGAGGCTTTAGAATCGATTCAGAGGCTTCCAATTCAATTTGGACCTTTTAAAGGGTTTCCTGATTTGATTTGGATTCAGAGATTCGGCCCCCGAATTGGGCCAAA